TGCTAGAATACATATGGACCACATCAATGGAGTTCACATATGTTTAGATTTGCAGTACACATCAAAGTATATTGTGAAGCCAACAGGGCCTTCGCAATGTACAAGCCCAGTAAAAACAACAGCAAAATGCAAGCATGGCTATTTGAGAACACATCCCTGAGAATGGGTCAAAGATTATAACTTAGGAAGTGTGGAAGCCTCCACTTCCTACTGCTCTAACATGGCCGCATTTTGAAACTGTCATGATAGCAGATTCCAAATAGTGTAAGGCGGGAGAATAAAGTGCAAGAGAAGGAAATGTACTGAGAACAAGTTCCCAGAGGAAGTGCAGGGTGAGGAATGCAAACATGTACAGGAATGAGGCGGAGGGAGGATCAGACAGGGTGCTGGCTTGACCCTGAGATAGCCCAATCCCCACTGGACCCTAGAACTTGGAGTAGAGAGCAAGAGATACTCAAGAAGGAATTTTTGAAAAAATATAGGCCGGGAGGGGCGTAAGGCAGGAGTAACTGGAAATTGATACCACTGCAATAAAGATGCCAAAAACAACAAAATATTTCAGACACTCATGACCTCTCTTCACAGCAGCCTCATCTACATTCAAAGAAAATGTGGTTGTTGGAGCCTGCAGGAAACAAAAGCTTGCCCGGGGCTGAAGGCCCATCAGACCATCTCCACCAGAGACGGCACCAGTGCAGGCACGCAGCCACACTGGCTTTACTGCCTATAAAAGGTGAGATCTCCAACTTTCAGAATTGTGAAAGTCCCCCCACAATGAATTCAGTTTCACTGTCGGGCTTCCTAACAACAGCTGCGAGTCCTGGAACTCTAAACTTCATTTTATAATGGACCATGTCTACCAGAGAGGGTACTAATACATGGGCAGTAGGAGAATGAAAAGAAAACATCATTTCTCCAGGCCAGGCGCAGTGGCTCACGCCTATAATCCCAGCACTTTGGGAGTCCAAAGTGGGTGGATCACGAGGTCAAGAGATAGAGACCATCCTGGCTAACACAGTGAAACCCCATCTCTACTAAAACTACAAAAAATTAGCCGGGCATGGTGGCATGTGCCTGTAGTCCCAGCTACTCGGGAGGCTGAAGCAGGAAAATCGCTTGAACCCATGAGGCGGAAGTTGCAGTGAGCCGAGATCGCACCACTGCACTCCAGCCTGGGCGACAGAGCAAGACTCTGTCTCAAAAACAAAAAACAAAAAACAAAAAACAAAAACATCATTTCTCCGACCTACTGGCCTTTTGCATAGTGCCAGGGGTGGGGCAAGGGAGTGGTGAGGGGGGAGCATAAATGGCCTAGCTGTGTTTCTCTAAAAACATGTGCTTCTGTCTCTTGATTTAGGGAAGGAGGAGGGGCTGGGCATGGTAAGGAGGATGTGCAGGTGACAATAATCAGTATGAGTATTTTTTAAAAAAAACTTTTCTTTTTTTAGAGGCATGGTCTCGCTCTGGTGCCCAGGCTGGAGTGCAGTGGTGCGATCATAGCTCACTATAACCTCAGACTCCTGAGTTCAAAGAATCCTCCCGCTATAGCCTCCCGAGTAGCTGGGACAACAGGCACACACTATTACAGCTAGCTAATTTTTCAACTTTTTGTAGAGATGGGGTCTCACTATGTTCCCCAGGCTGGTCTTAAACTCTTAGCCTCAAGTGATCCTCCCACCTCAGCCTCCCAAAGCCCTGGGATTACCGGGATGAGCCACTGCATCCAGCCAATGAGTATTTTTGAGGGAATTTTTGCAAGAAGATGACCATTCAAAAGGGTGTGCTGATTTCAGTTACCTATCCCAAGCGTGCAGTGGAGTGAAGGGAAAGAGCATGAGTCTCGAGCCAGATCTCGAGCCAGACAGACCTGGATGCAAATGCCGACACGTTGCTTAACTCTTCAGGGTCTATTTCCTAATCTGCAAAACAGAGATAATTGCTTTACCTACTTCAAAGGCTGCCGTGAGGATTAAATGATACAATGTGTGAAAAGCGCTGGACACCCAGACATTGGGTAAATATTGTCGTTGTTAAAGTGCATGTGTGGGTGCCTAACAAGGAGTACATGGTCATCATTACTACTGCAACGTTGCTTAACACTGGGCAGGCAGCTGCTGCATGTGCACCTCCATCCCTCTAACGCCAATGAGCAAATGTCAGTGAAAAAGCTGCAACTCTGGGATCCCTCTCACAAGGAAAGGCGTCAGCTTCCCTCGCTCCTCACTCGACTCCAAGAACAACCACATTTTACATCTCTAAAAATTCTCCAGGAGGTTTAAAACAAAAAGTCCAGGCAATCCGCTGACTCCTTCTTGGCCAGGCTACCCTGAGAGTTAACAGAAACCTAGATATGCTCATCAGTTTTCAAGGAAAGGATCCTAGAGCTGCCTCTCGATCCAGCCACGGGCCAACACACCAGCAGAGAGCTGCTTTGCAAGGGGCCAGCCGAATTTGAGTCCCAGCCTTCGCACTTTAACTGCAGTGCTTCTCAAGAGCATAAGGACAAGAGGACCCAGCTTCCCATCCTCTTCATCTCAGCTGACCAGGCACTGTGGGCAAAACGCACACCACAAGGCCAAAGCCCCCAAGCCTTTTGCCCACACTAGGCAATATTAGGAGTCCCTGCCCCAGCAGGGCTGGGACCTCCACAGTGAGAAAGCCCAATTCTGGCTTTAATGCATAACAAATCACTTCAATCAACTGGGGTCAGGGCAGGGAAGGGGCTTTCAGAAGGAACTGTAGAGTCACCGCGCCAACCCCCAGCCTCCTCTACCGACAGGATGGGGCCGCATCCCTCCCACCTCTCGGCTACCCTATCTCCCCCGCCTGTCCAATTTCCCATCTCAATAATGGGCTTATATCAGGCAGGGCCAGGATTCTTCTCTTCCCATAGGCCAACACACTATAATATTTGCTTTCCTTCCTTCCTTTCCAAAGCCTACCAGATTAGATTGCTGGAGTCCCATCCAGCTCACTGAGACAGATGGAAAACGGAAAGTAAGGCAACCCAAACTGTTCATGGTGGAAAAAGAGAGAGGGGGCAGAGCAACCCAGCATCGCAGCACCCAGATCCTCTTTTCCAAGCCCTAGGTCTATCACAACCAGAGTAAGTCGAGCCACAGCAGTTTCCGTGAATCAGAAAAGATATTCTGATGCACTGTTGTCTGCAGCAAGCTCTCATCTGAGTCATCCAGCCTTTCAGCAGGGGCATCACCCACCTGTCCATCTGTCCCATGAATTGGACAGGAGACCAATGCTGCTTGGGTCTTCCTAGTATCCTAGCACTTCAGCAAACACTTGGCTGCTCTGGCGCTCAGCTGATAGGGCTCATCAGCCTTCCCCTTCCCACTTCTGCAGGACAAAAACCTGCACCAACCAAAACCTGCGTGTCTTCAAGATTTATTTTAACCACTGTAAAATATCGAGCTGAATATGGTTCAACTCACTACCATGACATGATGGAATCTGTAGGCCCTATTTCCTTACACAGAAGAGAGAAGAAGAAAGCACCAATGACAAGGAAAAAGAAAGGTTTGCAAAAACTCTTCACCAAAGGGCAGGCAGTTTCTCAATCAATACCAAGGTAATTACCCATCTGTGAAATGAGCAAGGTTCCCATTACCAGCCAGCTAAAATCCCACTAGGAGTGCCACAGACAATTTATAGAAAGTATGCTGTAATGTACAAACAGGGTCAAAGGATACTTAGGTGTAAAGGCAACACCCAGACTAATAACTCCCATGTACCAGCTTGGTGAAGCAAATCCCTACAGGTTTGAGGAACAACGACACTGCTCTTTTCTCTGCCATTTGGACAAGTGTAAACAATTCATGTGTTTGCATTCATTCATTAATGCAACAAACATTTACTTAGCACCTGGTACATGTCATACGTTGGGCTGGCCGTAATCTAGACTACAAGCTAGACCTTTGATAGTGAAAAAATCATCCGCCTTCAAGCGGCACATGTTGAAGAAGGCTAACGTCTGAGATGATGATGATGCTTTCTAAAAGCTTGCTCTGGCTTCTCAAAACAAGTGGGGGGCTTACAAGTCCTGTAAGCTCCCCAAAGACAGGGTCTAGCCCTCCAAAGGTAAAGGAAAAAGAAAAAATATTTGGAGTTGTGTTTTGTTCATCACTGCCTTGCATGTATAATAAATGTCAACTGAATGCAACTGAAATAAAAAACAAAAACTTCTATTCTTTCAAGATCTTTTGCTTTGCTGTTTCGGAAGGCTTTGCAACCAAAGAAAAACAATGACAAAAGAAGGGAAAATGGGACTTGGTCAGATATATGAAGAACACCATTAGTGCAGTCTTGCTACTTCAGCCCCAAGTGCATCTACAGCTCAGCCTTCAGAGCCCCCAGAGCCACAGCTGGCTTCCTGGTGTGGTGCTCTCCCCTCCCTCTTCTCTGCCGTTTGCTGTCCTCTTAAAACCCCACTTGGAGCCCTAAAGAAAGGGGGCGGGCAGGAAGAAGGAATGAGAAGGGGAAGATACATCCTGAACCTGCGTTCACCAAGAAGGAAGGAAGCCAAACCCTAAGGCGAGGGCCTGGGGGCAGGGCTGGCCCAGGGGAGGAGATGTGAGGGTGCTCGGGCTGCAGCGGGTCCTGCACCCCTCTCTGGGCGTGCGGGGACATTTTTCCATTCTAAACGGCCTAGCTTCCCACCCTCACCCACCCTTCTTTTTTCTTTCTTTTTTTAAAAATTTTGGTGAAATCGTCTTCAGGACTGAAGGAGAAAAGGGAAGCGTGTGAGGTGAGGAAGAAGTTGGTGAGAGAACGAGAGCTCCCCTCGAGGGCTCACCCAACCTGGCACCGAACCTGCATTTTAGGGCAGTCCTTTCCACTGTATGGAGTTCCAGAAGCCCAAAGGCCAGGCTGCACCCATAGGAAAGGACGGGTGTCCGTAGGGGAGCCTTCTAGGCCTGTCATTTAATAAGGTAGTCGGGGGAGAGAAAGAGGAGTCTCCATGGCCCAATCGTACCCAAGGGACTTGCCTGGGGACGTTCTCTGCTCTCCTCCCCTCCCGCAGCCCGGGCAGTCGTTGCGGGGCCGGTGCCCCAGCGCCAGAACCCGCAGAGAAGTTTCGCTGCTGCAAACGTGAGAAAATGCAGCTCAGCAGAACTCCCGCCCCCACCCTCTCCGCGGCCCCACCCCCGCAGCCCGACCCC